AGTAACAGAAGTGAAGCGCGAGCATTCGGGCACAGATGCAAGTAGGTGGGTTGATGTGGCTGTGGGAGCTTGTGGAAATTCTTCTCTGACTGCTTCTATTTTCTCAGACAAAAAGGAAGTAATGTCATCAGCTAAGAGTGAGGATGGGGAGGAGGTGTGGAAGATTTGGGGACACAAGGTATGAAATAGCTGTCCCAGAAATGGAGAGGGAATGGACTTGGGAAGCCTCAGGATTGCCAGGCAGCAGCAACGACCCACTTGGGTTAGTCGTCGTGCTTGCGGGTGTGTTTTCTCAGCCACAGTCAGCTGTGTGTGTGTGGGCATGAACTAGGCGGAAAGTTGGCTTTGGCCAGCATTATGTGTTTACCAGGATAGCAGAGAAAGGGAGACGTGGACAGGGCAAGTGAGGACGTACACAGGTGGGGACTTTCAGTGACTGAGCCCTGCAGTTAAGAGGAATACAAAGGGCAGTGATGAAGTGAAGAGGATGGAGCAGTGAAAAGGCAGTAGGGTCAGTGGGTTACAGGGTGCAGAGGAGATGAAGGCTGGTTGGCTGGAGAATGAGGTGCTTGGCAAAGAGATCGTGGAGGGGTTACGGTTACTGGTGATGATCATTCTAGGCTATGACTATGGGGTGAGTGGCTGAGGGATGAGAACACTATGGTTGGGTGGGGGCAGGGCCACTGGGGAAGAGGAGGCCAAGAAACTGAGAGGTCAGGATATTGGGAGGATCATCTATGGGTTACTGAAGTTATTAAGAATTATGGCATGTACTGCCTTCCAGGAAATAAAATCTTCAAGAAAGCAGGAAAGTGACTTATGGGATTGATAGTAAGTGGCAGAGTCTGATGCCTACGCTCATGATTCCTTAAGACTGAAAGTCTTACTTTGCTAAAGCAATACCACGATTAATATATTAATATAATCACTCTACAAGTACTATATGCAATAGTTTTGTGGGCATGTTTTAAGCTTAGTGCTTAAGACAACCAGGATTACCAGCTATATGACCTTGGGCAAATCACTTAGCCTCTCTCTGCCTACAGTTTACTTATCTGCAAAAGAGAATAATAATACCTATCTCATATCCCTCATGTCAAGTGTTCAGTAAAATTAAATACTTAAAATGGAAACATGATTAAATCCTTCATAATAGTTAGCTGTGATTATTGTCATCTTTCTAGACAACTGAGCATTCGGGTAACTGGAAAATAGAAAAGATAATACAGGTGTACTTTGCTTTGCAGAATAAATACATTCTGACATACATGTAAGTTAATTTAAAAAAATAGTAAAATGAACCCACCGGCAGAACTATTTACAAAGGAACTCTTTGAAATATATATTTTAAAAA